TATAATAATGATCGTGTTGCAATAATTTTAAATTAATTTCATTTTATCTGTTGTAACAATTTATTCAAAATTTATACAAATTGTGGTGTTATTTTCACAGTAATTTTTTGAATTAATTCGTAACTAAAAGCATTAAAATGTATTATAATGCTTAGATACGTGAAAAGAATGAATCGTTTCCATGTTCGAATGATAATGAACGTTCGAACAAAATAGTTTTAGATATTACAATCGAATAGAATGGAACGATAAATTCTCCCTGACTTTGAATTCGGATCATTCTGACTCACTGGGCGCGGTTCATTCTATATATTGACTAATATAGAAAGGCTTGCAAATTGTGAATCCCAGCAAGTTCTCTCCCTCGCATTTTCAATCCATTGATCGAAAAAAACCAGCATTTTCATTTTCATTGTTTTTCGAACGTCCCTCGATTATCTTTTTTTCCTTTCGATGCATATAAATTAAATTCTTTTTATAAATTCTTATTTTCTTTTGTTTTTTTTTATTTTTAGTTTTTCTTACTTACACAATATATTCATTTTATTGTAATACGTTCGATTCGTTAGATCTTATATTATCGTTCAGAAACAAAGAGTTGAAAGAAACATATTTTGGATCGAAATAAAAAATCTTTTGTAATGATAACTGTTCGTAATAAATAATATTAAACTTGGCGAAGAAAATTAAAAAATAATGCTTTCGTTTTGTAGAATAGAAATAATTAAGAGAAAAAAAAATGGCATTTTTGATGAATCAAAAGGTTGATTTTAATTTATACCCATCTACGTTATGCATTTTTCTTTAATATTATTTTTATTGTTCAATTGTTTGCATATTCATTCAACGCATCAAGTTGATTAAATAAGTTGCTCGTATTTCTAAATGGACAATAAATAATACAAAATAAATACTTTATTGAAAGAAATACACAAATTTCTTTTACAATTAACAGATTGTTAAGCATACAGATTGTTAGCGTTTAAATATTTTTTGCAAATAATCCTAATTTCAACGGATATATTTATTGTCCATTTTGCCTAACATTTATTTTTTTCCATTTTTCGAGTTGGCTGAATAAAATCGATGGATTTTAACGCGACGAGCGTGCAATCAAAAATGATTTATTTTTCCATTCCCCTATTCGTTATCGCACGACAAAGGAACGAGGTAGGTAGGTGGTTCTAATAAAATCGTAAATAAAACCTCTGGGTTCTATTGTAGTCTCGGCGAAAGAGAAATTGAAAGAGAAATGGGCGAATTTAAATACTTCTTTTCGATCCAATCTTTTAATTCGTTGATAAAAGTTTAATAAATAAATTAATTATTATCCAAGGAGCGCGTATTAAATATTATTATCGAATAAATTAACGCGGGAATTTTATTAAGACCAAAGAAATATTTTCGTTTATTTTTATTTGTTAAAGATTATCGATTATATTATTTCATTGACGATTAATTATTTAATTTTTTTTTTTTTTGAAGAAGTAAAAAATTATTAACCAAATGGTATTGAAATTTTGATAGTATTCGATAGAATAGCGTAATTTTTTTAATTATAAAATTCTTTTTAAAAGTTAAATAATCATATCGTTTTATTTAATAATTATTAATAAAAGATTCTTTCTTCGTATTATTTATTTTATTCCCTTTATAATTTATATCATATTCTTTAAAAACGACTTTAAACGAGACTTTGAAAATGATGAATTCTAACAATCGTCGCCATTATTTTCTCAAACTTGGCAAGAAAAGAATCTAATTCATATAGGATATAATTAAAAAAGTGACGACCATCTTATATCTATAAAGCAAATTACTCATATGTAACGACCAATTACGACTGCCCAATTACGTTCCTCTATTTATTATATAATGTTTATCGCTCTCCAGAGCACAATCCGTACCACATGAACATTATAAATGCAAATGAATTGCCCCCATTGTTCCCTAAATATGCATATAATATCCCGTATAATATATAATAACATAATTACGATAAAATCGAATTTTCTTAATTTTCTTAATTTTCTTAATTTTCTTTTCTTACAATCATCGAGAATTTTTTTTATATTTGTCCGCGAAACAACGTCAAAATGTGCATAGCGTCGAAATATAAGGCGTATAAACTGAAAGAAAGATGATTCTTTATTCAAAAATAAGTCGAATATGTGGAATGACAATTTTCGATATAAAATCCTTCCTTTTCGAGTAAATTAATTATTGAAGTTCCATGCGCGTGCACTTGCGAGAGAAACAGTTGAATATGTTTCTTCGCTCTGTATTCACAATTTTAAACAATGCCATCACTCGTGTTACAATGTACACGTCTCTTGCTATTCCTATAATTACGTCTAATTATCTTTCGAGTTATTAGCACAAATACAACGAGATACGTTCTGTCAAAACTTCTCAAGTGGGCTCACTCGTACAATTTCACAGTGGATTTTCTCGAAAACGTACTTTCTGTCACAAAAATTCCACGTTTTCGATTTATTTTTGCACACAAAAATTTATCACCCTCCATTGTACTCGTCTGCCATAATTTTCAGATACATACCTTGTACACAATAATTTCTTCAATTAATTTCTTCAAAATCTTTATTATTATGAAATAAAAATTCTAAAAAGAAATAATCTAATTGGATTAAATAATTAGCAGGAAACAAATTTTAATTCGCATCAAAATGCATGTTAATTATAATTCATATCTATTCTTTTCTCTTGCGAATTATATATATAAATGGAACGCCGTCATAGCATTGCGGTATCGATTGGCATTCACCACTGGGATACAATCGCGTGCCTGGTAATAATTTAGCATTCTTTAAATACAAAACTTCTCCAAAGTATTTCACAATCGCGATTTAACGAGAAATCAACTACGTGAAACGCGCACCGGGGAACGAATGAACTTTGGATTAGCCTTGAACCACGATTACCCTTGTAGCCGGCCCCACTTCGATCGCGGTTTCCACATCTTTTGTTTTTTGTAGAACGTGTTCAAACACCAGAGATCTTTCTCTTTATTTGTCGTAATATTTTAAAATTATTCTTTATATCTTAGGTATATGTATGCTTATACTAAAAATGATTAAATTAATATCATTTAATAATATGAAACGAGTTTTGTCAAGATCGAACAAAAAATAATTTTGATTTATATTTGTTTAAAATATATTTAAGTAATGATTATGATTATTCTTTAAACTCGAGTTTGGGATAAATAAAAATTTAAAGAAAGATGAGAAAAATAATTTACGATATGTTCATTTTATATTCTTTAAAATTTGTTTAATACTTGAATTAGATAAAAATGATAAAAAGAGACAAATAAAAAATATATCAAATAGGGTACATTGGAAAATACTTTGAAATTTCTGAGAAAATTAATTTACAATATATTAAGTTGTTTCATCTTCCTATATTAGAAAGATACTTGATTTAAATAAATCTAATAAAGATAAATATAAAAACTCTTGAAGAAAAATATATTTTTTTCTATAGGATAAATGAAAAATGTCCGTTATCGTAAATTAGTATCATCTTTGAAAAAATCTCGTTCTTTTTCGTCATGTCTCGTCCTTCGATTTACGTCAACTATACACATTTCTCACCCGTGGCATTAGAATCCTTATTATCGCATAGATAATGTGGCTTCTACCGAAGGTGTTAGAACGACACAGCCGCAATTGTGGTCGCCATGTCGCCAAACGTTTCCATGGCGGTATGTCAGGTCGACATGCTAAACCACGAAATTCACTTTACAAACCACAGTGCCCAATACCTAAGGGCCTATGATGCCTTGAACTTTTGAATTTTTCAACTTCCAAACAAATTAATTTAATTTTCTCACAATTATGAGAGAATGAAAGGAAATAGTGAGTAAAATAATGAGAATTGAATACCAGTAGCAGTTTTCAATAATAAACCATAGTTTATTAAGAATGAGATAAACTCGAAATCTCTGAAACTCTATTTCTTAATCATTTTTTGAGTTACGATTTTTTTTTTTAAATAAGAAAAATTTGAAAATCTAACATAGTTTTGTTGCAATAGAACGAGTAGTAGTTTTTGAATTAGGTAACAAGAGGATCGTCTTGAAAGACTCTTATAAAGAATTCTAATGAAATTATATTGAAATAAATAAATAAATGATAAATTAAAATGATCGCGTAAAATTTATATCCGTTAAACGCATATTTTGGATCATAATAATTGTTATTTTTTCTTATAATCTGCATAAATCATCATATCTTATTCTACAATTGTAAATTGTGAATGATCTTAATTTTTTGATAGTAACGAGGTAAAGATTTGGAAAATATATATTAAAATCATTATTCAAAAAATATAATTTAATTAATCCTAGAATAACTTGATCACAAAAAACTTCTACTATTACACTCATTTTTGATAAAATCGTATCCCCATAACGATTATATTTATAAAGTTAAGAACCGATCTTCTTTTATTGTAATATACGTTCCATAAAATGAAATGGAAAATGCAGAATTTCATATTAATAATTTTGCAAGTACTATAAATCGTATAAAAATAAATGTTATCTCTTTCGAATGGAATCATATAATTTTTAACGCATCAACGTTATAGAACAATATCCTCCACGAAAAAAGTATTAATAATAACTTTTCCTTTTTCAAAAAAAATTATCAAAGCATCTGCCAAAGCTTTTCCTTGAAAATAGGTTAATATTCTTCCTAAAGAGAACAATCAAACTCATTCAAAAAAAAAAAGCAAAGTTGATACTCATAATACGATCGATACTCGATAATCTATTCATAAATAAAAGATATTCCAATTCGTAGCATTATTTTATTCAATCTCTTCGTGAAAACGAACAAAATAAAGAGCACGAATAAGGAAGGGGACGAAATTGTACTAAAGTTAAAAGTTCATCGTCCAGTAACGAGATCCACCGTATACCTTACGAGCTAATACACGAAAGGAGATTCTTTTGAACGAAACTGCACCCCTACCTGTTCTGTTGTTCGTCGACAGTGACAGACGGGAGGGTTGTTAGACGTTGGCGGAGGCAACGGGGTTGCTCGCCCCGTCGCGATGCTCACCGGCCCTCGAATCGCTCGAGAGCGGCCAGACCCTCTCTCGCGTCCTTTGATCTGCCAGCAACCCCCAAAACGAGCACTACACCATGCTCCTCGGTCCTGTTCAATTCACCCCCTTCCTCCTCCTTCGGCCTACGCATGCCAAGAATTCTGAAAGCATTGGAGGAAAGAACACGTGAGAAACGGACGGGTCTCTTTTCGAATTTTTCTTGGGGAGGGAAATTTCGAATACGTTACAAAAAAAAAGCTTTTCGAACAAAAATTTTCGAGTCGATTTTCCAATCGCTTACATCCAACTTTTATAATATTTCGTTTCTTGTTAGAGAAAAAAAAAAGGGTAAGAACAGAATCTCGATTGAACAATTGTAAACAATTGTGTGTTTAGCAAGTATAATTTATTCGATGGTAGTAAGATTTTCTTATTATCTTTTTCATTTTGAATTTAATTAAAATCTAGAAATTGATTGATATGAAACGAAATTTGAAATTAAAAAATTCTAATCTTAACTTTGAATCAAAAAATTTTAGATCAAATTGTTTTGAATTTTTAAAACACGTTTTCTGGGTTGAGATTCTGTTCTTTGAGATTAATTAAAATTAAAGCAATTGGAAAATTGGATTGTTTGGATTGTAGTTTTTCTTAATCTTTCAAATATTTAAAAAATAAAACAAAAGTATTCTTTTCCTGTTGATGATGATGGAAAATATGTTTACAATTTCTTAGATTATTCGGATTTCATTATGAAAGAATAAAAAATAAAATTCTCTTATTTATCATTTTAACATTAAAACTAAATCTATTCTAACTTATTCACCTATAAAACTAATTCAAATTAAAAATGTATAGTTTTAATGTTAAATATAAATTGTAACAATTATTTATCCAAAAATCTAATTCAATTATTCCAAACGATAATGCAAGTGTTTGCTTTAATGATCTGTTACGATTAAAATTGTAATTATTTTACACGAAATGCTGACCAATTTTCAACTAATAACAATAACGATAGATATCATTATTTAAATTAACGATTTCTAAATAATTACTTCATCCTCGAAATAATCTACACAAGTCGTTCTTGCACATTAAACAAAGAGAACAATCCTTAAATTTCACGCTTTTCGAATAACAATCGAAATCATCGTATTAAAACAATATTCTGAGATATTTCGAAACAAATCGAATCTTTTCAAGAAGAAGCCCATATCGAGCCCACAACCCGACTATATATATATATTTCAACTGAATTCCTATTCTCTCGGCACAATAAAGAAATTTAATCATAGCCAGACAGTTGAATAATAGACGCTGAATAAATTAAATGCATCGCAACAAGCTTGAACGTTTCTCTTTCACAACACCTTCATTATTCCATTCATCTTCGGCACGTACACACGCAGGACGGGGAAGGAAACTCGTCACATAATAACAATTATTAACCCTTCCTTTGTGCACCATTTCATCATCCCGTTAATGTCCTTCTCGTTAATATCCACGGATTCCACGTGGCTCTACCATGCGAAACATCGGTACAGGGGTGTAATAACTGTCAGGTGCGGGGACGTAATTACCAGCAGCCTGTGAAAGCAACACCGGTTTCGAGAGGAAGATTTGTTTTGTTCCGGAATCGTGACGCTTGAGGAGAGCGTGCGTTGAAACGGAATCTTGAAACACGCCCCCAGAATTTCAAACGCGCTTAATTTCGCGGCTTCTTAATTCATTTTACTCGATCTTCGTTGAATCGATAATATCCTTCATTCATCCGATCGAAGGATGTGTAAATTCTATTAATCGTTTAAACTTACCTTGGAACGAAATTATTCGTTTTACGATTTAACAAAGGACCCAGTTAATTTACGTTCAGAAACGAATACGATTCCAAAATACATCAATGCATATTATAAATAATAATATCATTACCACTAGTTCTATTAATCGTTTAAACTTACCTCGGAACGAATTAATTCGTTTCGAGTATTTACAATTTAATAAAGGATTTACATTTACGTTTAGAAACGAATACGATTCCAAAAGTGTCCAGGTTTAAGTATAAAATCATATTATATCGGCATGGAATATTCAAAAAAATATTTCTACGTCAATACATCAATGTATATTATATTATAAATAATAATATTATTAGCGCTAATTCTATTAATCGTTTCAAGTATTTACAATTTAAGAAAGGATTTACATTTACGTTTAGAACGAATACGATTCCAAAAGTGTCCAGGTTTAAGAATAAAATCATATTATATCGGCATGGAATATGGCAAAAAAATATTTCTACGTGAATGTAACATAAATCCCTGTTATTATGAATAATAATATTATTACCGCTAACGGTGTTGTGGATCAAAGTCACTTTGCACGAAGAGTATACCGCTCGTTACCTTTCGACGTGGCTGAAATGCTAATGTATACACCCTTCTTTACACCTAACGCAATAACCCGCCCCCAGAAGAAGCTGAATGTTTAATCGATTTTATCACAGGTACAAGCAATTTCATTAGCCGAGCAGCCATGTTGTTTAACCGTACACCTTAACCCTTAAAGCTACATTTTATAAAGGGGTTGATACACGGATAGATTAATATTTCGGTAAAATCGTGGCTCACCATCAGGGATCGGGATTAACATAAATATTCCTAGCAAAAAACCGAGCCTCGCATGTATTCCACGTATCACGCGATACCCACGTTTCTTATCAGTTTCCAGTATGCTCGTGAACACGAATCACACGATTCCTTTCCCAAAAGCGTGTAATCTGATCCGAATTAATGAACAATTCTCTCAAAATGTCAAAACGCTATCTCTTTTTCAATTACGACACAATTGAATTTAAAATTTAAAAAGTGAATAAGCTTAAAGACTTTGCTTGGCTGCGTACATTTGTAAAACTCGAAAGATTAAATATCCGAATTGTTTTCAATTTTTTAATCGAGAATCTTCGAGATGAGATATTATTAAGTAATTACAAAATTGGTAATTATTATTTTAAAGATAATTAATTGTAAAATAATATAACGATATTAATCGAAAGAAATGAAACTTGAATAGAGATTTAAGCCTTATTCTTCGAGTATCATGATATTATATTTTTTCTATATAGATTTTCAAATACGTAAACATTCATAAATAATTGATAGAATACGAATAATATGCCGCGTAAGCAAAATTCATCGACAATCATAATTTTATTTTATATAGAAAATTGTAATATGCACGAAATTATATATATGAAGCAATTTTTTTATTAATGGAGTATCACTTTAGGGAGTGAGATTAATCCTTAAAGTTTCGTTATTTTAAAATATCCAGCTTTTAACGTTCCTACCTTCCTATTTAAAAAATATTTCCAGTTGAAATTGAAATGCAAAACATGAAAAAATTTAATTTCTCGCTCTCGAAGAGACTTTTCCTCGAAAAAATAATTTCCTCTGCTATAATCCATCACGCCCCACATACAAATTTTCATTAAAATCAAATTTTCCACAATTCAAACTACCTTGCAAATCAAACCAAACAACTCGATCTAAACCTACCCCCGATCTGTTTATAGATTCGTCATTTACCCAATCCAATAATATCGATCGAAAGTTAAATTAGCTGAAACATCTTTTCTATCGTTAACCAATCGCGAGGCAACGTTCGAAGAAACGCCGAGGGCGTATCTGAATGGGCAATGATCGTGGAGACCGTTCACCTCCATCTGAAAACTTGACATCGATCGACATAACTTCCCATTACCTTTCACCCCCTTCGAAGGGTTCAGGAAGGAACAGAGGGCGGGATATAAAAATTTATCTCGTTTCGAGGTGTAAAAAAACGAAAAAGGAAGGAAGGAAGGAAGGAATCCTATTTATCTCGATTTCTCCTCGGCCAACACGACAACGAGGAATCGACGAGTCGCCTCGGTTAAGAACGTGATGCTCGCTAAACGACGTAACTTTTATCGGCCAGCATCTCGACTTTGCAAACTGAGTTGTTACAAGGGGGACGGTCGCCTGATGGGTGGAAAGAGGTTGGAAAGGAGGTTCGAAAGTCGTTTAAACTTCAACGAGGGTTTGACGCCACCACTTACACCCGAATTGCACAGCCGCGAGGAAAAATAAAGCGAGGGATGCATTCATCGCGACGTTTATACATTTTCGAGGGCGTGCAGTTTGCAAACAGAGCGTGATCTTGGATAAACGTGCGCGCAGATCGTTAGTGATATTGATCTTTTCAGCACGAACTTTGGCTAATTGGTCTTTCGTGTTATATATTATTTACATTTAATTAGATTAATAATTTAGAAATTGAGAGAAATTGTCGATCGATAAAATATGGATTTGGATTATTGATCGAAATTAAAGATATTTTCTGTGTAGGATCATGAAAACAATTCCATTTGAACATTCATGAAACATATAAAAATTTAATAATTTCTTATTTTTGAATCTATATCAAAGATGGAATAGATAGGAATTAACAAAATGTAACTCCAAATCATTTCTAAGTCAAAGACAAAAATACTTGCATCTTATGTGAACTTAACCTTGATTTAAAAAGTCTAAGAAATAAAGATATTTTCTTATTCTTATGACAGACATATCGTAATCCTGATGACAAGATTCTAATCTATTAAAGAAATCCAACGAGTCTATGAAATAAACCATCTTAGTTCCCTAAACTTGAAATTTCCTCTCAGATATATTTCAAGATCCCAATCTTGAATTCCATCAAACAAGAATATATGCTGAACATTTTTGTTTTTCTTTTTCAATCCCTGTATGATCCTCAAAATGTTAATTGAAAAAAAAAAAAAACTACAAAAAGAATCACGAAGGATAAAATTGCTATTTAAATCTGTATGCATCTTTTTTTTTCCATTATCATAAAAATTACCTATCAAAAATATCAATAGGAGAACAGGATGTTTCCAATAGCCAAATATAGATTGCTGCAAGTCTCATTGAATATTGCCATTAATATGCAATTTGCCTTTACTAATCGTTCTTCTCTAGCACGTGGAAAGTTACTACTCAATATCCATACGGTCGATATATCGACGTGAATGCGAGCTTCGGTTACCTCGGTTTAATCAACGAATCTGCATGAGCGGAGTTACAGCGTGATTCAATCAAATTTCGTTGGATATTTCAAT